AACTCTTTAAGTCCCAGTGGGTTTAGCATCAGAGGCCCAAACGGTAATCAAGCGAGACATAAAATCGGAGCATCTTGGGCTAACTGGGATTATAAGTAGCAAGCTATGATGCGTTCCTTAGGACTCAAAGAGTTAATAGGATCGATAAGCTATACATGATAATGATAGCATGCAGCAGCTAAACTCTCGCCTGCAGATTCGAAGTTAGTGAGTTCAAGTCTTGACGAAGCTGGACTGTTTAAAAAAAATGACTTTGGCTCCCAGGTCGACCCAGCTAAAAGTGCGTACCAGGTAAAGACATAAAAGGTAAAGGGGGATGTTGATCACAATACCCATCGAGTGTGGATTGGCCAACGTAGACAAGGTTGATGTGTCCATCGATGTCGAATTGCATCTGCATGAGACGCAAAGAACCAACAGTCTCTACAAAAGTAAACCACATACACAATTCCGATATGCTGCAAAAGTCAAGTCCTGATGTATTGTTAAATCCTACCTTGTAGTTGTCTAGTGCCATTCTCTAGTGACTTCTACTCACAGCTTGTTCTCTATTGACATAAACTTATTACACTGGATCATACACGCAAAGGAAGACCTTTTGAGTAATGGACATCTGAAGTGTCAAACCGCGACTATATGGTGGGCGATGTGGTCAACAGCAGGCCCGCAGATCGGGAGGTCATATGTTGGGGTTCTAGCCGGGCTTTCTTTAAAATGACCTTGGCTTCATGTTCGACATAGCCTTGAGTGGGTACCAGTGCGGTCATTGAAAGTAAAAGCGGCCGGTGTGATGTTTACCACATCACCCACCAAGTGCCGCTCTGTCTATGAAATATAGGTCTAACCCTATATGCCCAGTACTGAAGGAGAGGAAAAGTGTCATTTATCTTAACTTACAAAAAAGAACAAATGTTGATCACATACAGAGCCTTTTCATGCGATAGAAACGGTTTACATGTCAGTTATCATGATGTGCAGCCAAATGTTCGAGGTAGGCTAGTGTTGAAATAACCGTGTAAATAACTAAAACCTCCTGGCCAGACTAAAGGTCTTGTCTCAAATCCGCATTTTTGAATAAAGACCTTTCTTCCCAGGCTAACCCATCCGTAAGTGTATACAAGGATGTTTGTTGGAAAGTAAAGATTTTCAGATGATGTGCTTATCACCCATCGAGTTACGACCAGTCTGTATAAAAGTGGGTACAACAACCATGCCAAGGACAGTGGTGCATGGAAAGGAAATTAGAAAAGGGGTGAGAATAAAGTTAAACGTGATTGTAGGTTACATCTTGGCCTCGAAACCCATGCCTTACAGACTGGAGTGGACCAGTCACAGTTACTATGTTTTAGATATGTATGTCGAATCGGCCACGATGGCAAGCAATTGGAGGCCAAGAATCAGGTAACCAGTCCTCTAGAATGACACAGGGTTCGCTGGGAAAACGATATCTAACAATCTCTGACTGACAGAGGACTCGAATGGAACAAATCCAAAATGGTAACTGCTGGTAAAGAAGGTTGGCGATATCTCTGGCAAACCTCCACACTCTAAGGCACGATTATTCAACTGGCGGCCCGCGGGCCAAATCTGGCCCGCGGAGACCTAGTAAGTGGCCTGCTGATCATTGTCAGTTGTTTTATACTAATAATTTTCTATGCTTGGGCTCAGTCATCTGACCCGTTATGATCCGCGTTTTCAAAATTTTGGCCCTTAAGTAACTTAGTTGAATTGCCCTGCTCTAAAGTAAAAGAGGATCCACTCAGTAAGGTAACAGTAAAATGAGATAGGTTGTGGGCTGAGCGTATGAGAAGAATCACATGAAATGCATGTGGTGACAGCAACATCGGTGCTGAAATCTCATTCTCTAATTGTGGTAAACATTTTTCTTAACGCGGGCGGGTCTTGCTGGTCACACCCTCCATCCCCGTGGGCTGTGATTCCCATGTCTCCCCAATGCACAATATAAAACCTATCGTCTTGAAAGACGGCTTTACAAAGCGGTAACCCAGCTGGCAATAGGGCACCAGCGCAGCGGCCAGCACGGGTTAAACCAAGCACCAGCAACAGTCAGCTAAAACCCACAGAGAGCTAAGAGAGCTGGACCAGACCGGACCCAGAACCCCAAGCACCACACCGGACTTAAGAAAACAAACAACATGATTTCACACCACAAAGAATCGAAAACGATATAAGATAGCAAAGCAACCTTCCTTCATTTAGCAGGCCTTTAGGCGACAGAAAAAGGATCAAGTTTGAAATTTTTGTTAATCAGAATTTGAAAAGACGGAAATGTGCCAGCCAGCAACAACATAGCTCAAAATGTCCGATTCTCCACCTGAAAAGGATACTTTCCTTTGAAAAGAAAAAGAAGAAGACCATTTCTTTTTATGCCACTTACCTAGCACTAGATGGGTAACTGAGATCGTATGGTAGATGTCTGTGAGGATACGAAGACATCGTGGACGCCGTGGAAGAGAAGTTGTAGGCCCATGGGTCTCCCTGCAGACTGGATAAACCATGTAATGCTGGTGACAGGTAAGGATGAGTGGTGTGAAATCCTTCCGCGCCAGATGAGTTGCTGACTCCACTTCCGCTGTTAATGCCCGCATGATGTTGCTGTGGATGGTACTGGCTGTTGGAACCCAGGAAGTGATGCAGATGATGTTGGTATTGGTAGGAACTATTCCAAAACGATGGTGGGAGATTCCTGGCGGACATGGGTGTTGGAGCTGAAAATTAAATGGGTAAAGATATTTAAACCTGCCTCTGCTGCCTATATTTGCCACCTTTTAGGGCTGTGTAGAAGAACCGGGATGGGGATGTGTCTTGAACCTGATGTTTTAGGGCTCTATGGCTAATGCAGTCGCCTCAAAATGTTCAGTTAAAGATGCGTATGATTGTCTCTAATAATTAATTTGAAGAAACAAAATTCAAACATTAAAAAATTTAAAAAACAATAATAATATGTGCATTTTACCAACGGAAGTCGCCGTATTGTGGCGGCTAGACGATGGCCTGAGCTCGGAAAGTCGAAGGTTCGGGTCTTGACGGAGTCAGACTTTTTTCAAAAATAGCATTGGCTCCCAGGTCGACCCAGCCTTGAGTGGGTACCAGGTTAAGTCCTGGAAAGTAAAGGCGGCAGGCGTGGTACTGACCATATCGCACACCAGATGCTGACTGGTCTGCAAAATATAGTTCAACCTTATATGCCCAATACACCTCAAAGCGTGGAAAAAGGTCCTTTACTTTATCTTACCAAAGATTTGAACCACATTCCCCTGTATCAATTCTCTCTTAGCTTGTCTGCTGTTCCCCCGTGATTCGCATGCGCACAACAGTGCACGTTCTACATAACACATCAACCTTTTTTTTTTCGCCGCAATTAAAAATATTTAATGAAGTTACATTTTCCATTAGTAGTACATTTACTTATGGCTGTGAAACGTGGACCTTAACAGCTGAACTTAAAAGAAAGATACCAGCATTAGGTCTGCGATGTTTCAGACACATTTTTGGCATATCATAGAGAGACCACAATACAAACGAGAAAGTTCGCCATAAAATTATACAGCACGTTGGCAACTATGAACCTCTTTTAACCACAGTGAAAAGGCGAAAAATGCAATGGTATGGTCATGTAATAAGAACTAACGGCCTCTCAAAAACAACACTGCAGGGCTCAGTAGAGGGAAATAGGAGAAGAGACAGACCAAGAAAGACCTGGTTACAGAACCTGACTGATTGGACAGGTCTCAAACATGCTACCATAAAGTCCATCGCAACAGACCGCCAAAGGTGGAGAGAGCTGATCAGACAGCCAACAGAAACTGGTGACCCAACGATGATGATGATATTTTCGACTTTTACCTAGTGTGACCCTAATAGCTTGAGCTAAAGACGGGACATCCCACTAATTTTGTTGTTTGAAAACGGGACCTACAAGCAATTCTGTCTCAGTCCTCCTCCCTCCCGTACCGCCCACCGCCAGTGTTCTGTAATTTGTTGTTATTGTTATTATTTATTATCATTATTATTATTATTATTATCACGATAAGGATTCCAAACTATTAACGCTAATTAGGTCGATATATATTATCACTGTATGTATGTTCGTATTCCTAGATTTTTATAAAACGGGACAATTGGAGTACCGTAGATTATGTACTAAACCACTGCCGGCATGTAGATCTTGGGTTCAATTCCGCGGCGATGAGTATTTTTGTCATTGACCCAGGTCTCACACCTGGACCAAGAAGTAAATCTGAATCAGCAGATGTCCATAAAGTCAAATAATGCTAGCGTTTTTTCAACCACACACAACCCATTGAACCCTGATTTGTCTCTAAAACACATGTGTCGTGTTCTCGCTGGTAGCTTTCAGTCTTTCCAGGGGTAATGTTATATTGACCTATGAGAAGGCATGCGAATCACAAAATGTCCAGATGGCGTGTAATTAGCAAGACCCGCTAGCGTTAAGATTCTTTGTCTTTAAGTCCATAGGCGTAGGTAGTCCTGCATGCTACCCACAATCATCTGTCTCATCTGTTTCAATCAGCTATGATGCAGTTGACCCCCTCTATGTCATCATGTGAAACTATCCAGCAACTTCTCTCTCTGTCACCCCTGCCTCTCTTCCACTCCAACTTTCCTAGTGTCACGACAGATTCCAGCATTTCCCTTTCTCATGACAAGATCAAAGAATGTAGACTGCCTCTTTGATATCATTAAGATTCGTCTTCCACAATTAAAGTATTGGATTTCAGGACCGTTACTGCTATCTGACGTATTAAGTGTTCTGTCTGACAAGTTTAGCTCTCAACCTTTTTGCAGATATGTTTACCTTGATCCCCATTCCCTTACTGGTTACCCCCCCCCCCCCCCACCAACCACCACCCCCTCCCCCATCTTTCTCTTCCCCCTTTCACGCAACACGGCCAATAGCAATTTATCCCCACCATCTATCTTAATACCTGTATCATTCACGTACCGCTTTCACAAATCCTTTTATCGTAATGGTGACATCCTCTACCGTAAAAATGTGGATCTATCATCAGAGAGAAGTAGGAAGAAGATCCTTCACTTACTTTACGAACTGCCACAGAAAGAAGATGTTAGTTGGTTTGCTGGCATCTTTTAGTCTTTTCAGTCAACAATATTAAACTGTTTTATATGGAGGTCTCCTTGCGTTGGTTTCGACAGTGGTATCGAGAAGCCGACCGTCTAAAAAGCAATGGCAAACTAATAGACGTAAATTTGCCTTGAAAAACCACAACAGCCAAAAAATGCTGGGGTTAGTTATGCGACTTCCTGTAAAGGATATGCAACTAACTATATATGGAGGTCTTGGGACCACATCCAGTGGGGATGTTGAGTGTGACTAGCAAGCCCCGATGTGCAAATAAAAGTCTTCAACGATTAGATCATGGGATTTTTTTGTCACTGTTGCAATCAACCGTTTTTTAACAAGACGATCAGCTCTTAGTCTCTATGCAACCATTGTGTCCGTTATTCCTATTCCCTTCACGATTTCTCGGCACATGCTATAAGTACCATGAAATCCAACACATGAAGGACAAGGTTACACAATATTTCACCGCGCGTGCAACAAGGACCATGGAAACCGGCACATTTAAGACAAGGTTAAACAATATTTCCTCGTACATGCTACAAGGACCATAGAATCCAACACATGAAAGACAAGGTTACACAATATTTCCCCGTACATGCTTCAAAGACCACTGAATCCTGCACATGAAAGAAAAGGTTAAACACTAATTCCCGGACAAGCTTCAAAGACCACTGCATCCTGCACACAAAAAAAAAAAACAAGGTTAAACAATAATTCCTCGTTTAAGCTTCAAAGACCACTGAATCCTGCACATGAAAGACAAGGTTAGACAACCAGAAACCGACTTACCCTTTGGTGACAACGCCTTGCTTTCTCTGAGGGCATCAGCAGACAAGGCTCGAGTAAAGTGGTCGTCGACGACACTGGCAGTATCGCCATTGAAGTAGGTCAAGAGCACACAGTTGGCCGTTATGTACTGGGCTCCTTTAGGTTCTGAGTCTCTTTCGGAATCGGCTTTTACTAAACCTGAAGAAGAGGATGACGATGCCCGAGATGTTGAAGGAGATAGTACGATTGATGCCGCAGATCCGGATGACGAAGGTGTCAGTATTGTAGGTACCGGGTAGGACAACGATGATGATGATGTTGATAAGGACGATGTTGGGCCCAGATCTAAGGGCTCGTGCATCCTAGACAGGCTCTGAAATTATAAACCGCAATAAATAGCGTTATCTAATGGTTAAATCTGGTGAGACAGACAGGGACAGGCCGCTTGATTGCCAACACACTGACCGAATGACATCCAGACAGAAGTATGGATGGATAGACAGACATAGAGAAAGATATTCTGACAGACAATCAGAATGCATTCAAACAGACATTCAGATTTCATTCGGACAAACAGTCAGAAAACGTTCAGACGGATATTCAGAAAACATCCGGACAGACAGTCAGAATACATGCAGACAGACAGTCAAAATCTATTCAGACAGACAGCGATAAAACTTTCCGACGGATAGTCAGAAAACATTAGGACTCACAGTCAGAATACATTCGGACAGACATTGAGAATAACTTAGGACAGACAGTAAAAGAAGACGAACACGAAGGAGCAGGAGGAGAAAGAGAGGAAGGTAGCGAAAGAAGAAGAAGAAGAAGAAGAAGAAGAAGAAGAAGAAGAAGAAGAAGAAGAAGAAGAAGAAGAAGAAGAAGAAGAAGAAGAAGAAGAAGAAGAAGAAGAAGAAGAAGAAGAAGAAGAAGAAGAAGAAGAAGAAGAAGAAAAAGAAGAAGAAAAAGAACAAGAAGAAGAAGAAAGAAAAAAAGAAAGGAGAGGGCAAGATGAGGGGAAAAAAAGAAAGAGTGGTGAGAAGTTATAAAAAGAGGAGGTATACAAACCGCGTCGTGTACTGATAGTAACGTAATCTTAAATATTGAATAAATGAACTACATGAAAAGTCATATGCTTAATAACTGCATCCTAATATGTGCTGGTGTCTAGCTACTGTTCCTTTGAGCCTCTTCTGTTGATTAACGCTTCCTGTTACTATGTAACTTGCAGTGTTATGTCTCTAGCTCTGTAACTGAAGTTTCATACAATGCCACGATATTGTCGGTTGTTGTTATTCTTTATCGTTTAGCGTCTGCTATTATCAAGTGTCTAGTTCTCAAAGTGTTTCATTACGGTATCACAAATCACTAAAGTTTCCAGCTAGTATTTAACTGTATGCGTCTTCCATTGCCTGCAGTATCCAATTCTTACAGTGCAATCAAAACATGAAAAGTAACACCAAGGGGGAAAAAATGTATGAGCACTGTAAGAACAAAGCAACTATTCAACACATGTATAGAAAACCAGCAACGTAGGCATGCAAATGACTTTTAGTACCTGGAAAATGGAAGCTGGGATACAACAGTATTGTTTAGTATTGTATGAAATATTTTTAACAGACATCAAAAGAGACAATCCCACCAACCCATAGAGTTGCAAAAAAAGAAATGGATGTCAACCGAAATTCTGCAGTTGATGGATAAAAGAAGGAAGAAAAAGAATGATAAAGAAGAATACTCCAGAATACAAAAAGAAATAGTAAACAAATGCAAAGTGGCTAAAGAAGCCTGGTTGAATCAATTGTGTACAGAGATTGGGGAAAACAACAGGAAAGACTCACATTCCATGTACCAACAGATAAATGTGTTAACAGGAAAGATGACACGTAACAGCACTGGATGCTTGAAATCAAAAGATGGTGACTTATTATTGAGACTTAGTAATATAATTAACAGATAGACAGAGTTTATAGGGGAATTTTATGATGATAATAGACCAGACGTAGAATTGCAGACCAACAATGATGGTCCACCAATAATGACTGCAGAAGTTGAGGATGTAATACATCATATAAAGAAAGGAAAAGCACCCGGGCCAGACAACATCTCACTTGAAGAAATCGAAGCACTGGGAAATTTTGGAATTGAAATAATAACTAAACTTTTTAATGATATTTATAATAGTGGGTATATTCCAAATGACTTTTAAAATCCATATTTATAGCTCTGCCAAAGAAACCAGGCACTTTAAAATGTGAAGACCATCGCACAAAAAGTCTTCTGAGTCACATGGTTAAGATTTTACTGAGAATAATTATGAGAAGAATAAGAAACAAAATTAAATCAGCGATGAACAATGTGGATTTGTAGAAGGAAAAGGTACAAACAATGCCATATACATCCTAAGGACATTGTCAGAAAGAGCTATAGAAGTAAAGACTGATTTATACTTATACTTCATAGACTATACAAAAGCATTTGACTGTGTGAAGCATGAAGAAGTAATCAAACTGTTAGAAAAATTAAACATTGATGGGAAATATCTAAGAATAATAAAGAACATGTATTGGCAGCAAACAGCAGCCATAAGAATTAACAACTGTTTAGGTACATTTCAAAGCATAAAGGGCAGCGTACGACAAGGATGTGTACTTTCACCTGATTTGTTTTCAATGTACAGTGAATATATAATGAGATCTTTAATTGAAGTACCCGGAATTGAGGTTGGTGGGCACACTATAAACAATTTACGTTATGCTGATGATACAGTCTTGATAGCAACAAGTCAGAAAGAACTACATGAAATGTTAGAAATTGTGGTGTTAGAAAGTGGAAGAATGGCCCTCAGTTTGAATAATGGAAAGACAGAAGTAACGGTGGTATCAAAGAAACAAATTATTCCTAAATTGTGTAATAAAAGTCAATGGTGTTATTTTAGGACAAGTACAGAAATTTAAGTATCTGGGCACATGGATAACATCAGATGGAAGATACATAACTGAAATAGGAAACAGAATTGGACAGGCAAAAACTGCATTTTATACAATTAAAAACATCTTGTGCAATATATCCTTGTCATTGAGAGTTAGAAAAAGAATTCTTGCTTGCTACATACATCCAGTTTTAACATATGGCTGTGAATCCTGGACAATCGGTAGGCAGGCCAAACAATTTTTAGAGGCCTCAGAGATGTGGTTTTACAGAAGAATGCTTGGAATACCTTGTACAGCCAAAAAAAGCAACCAAGAGGTTTTGAAAGAGGCGGAAGCCCGAAGTCAACTTATCACAGACATCAAAAGGAGACAGTCATCATTTTTCGGCCATGTTATGAGAAAAGAGAAAATATAACATGTTGTGACCACTGGAAAGATCTGTGGAAGGAGGGATAGAGGAAGATAACGAGAGAAGATGCTTGACAGTCTTGTTGAATGGCATTGAGGTGTGTCGGCACACGAACTGATACATGCTGCAGGATATCGCAGATTATGGCGAGGCATAATCACTCACGCCAGTCGGCAAGGCACCTGATGATATATATATATATATATATATATATATACACACATATATATAAATAGACAGAGGAGTGTTACTTAATTCCGCAAGTTTTCATACAGATAAATTCTAACATGTTATTTTGAAACACAAACTGTGACTAAAAGCTATACTGCTCAAATTTACAAGTGAAAACATGACATTAAACCCTTTACTAGTTACTTCCATGTCGACTGGACCTGGGAAGTAAAGTCAGTCAGCGTGATGTTTTACTACATCAGCCACTGTATCGTCACAAGTGTTAAGTTAGTAGCGAATCCTTTACAGGACGCTGCAAAACCAACTCCAGCAACAGTTGGCTATTATTTTACTAGACAATAGTACGTTTAGTAGTTTGCCATTGCTGACTGCACGATTGGCTCTTGATGCTATGGTCAAAACCAACGCAATGCGGTTTGCTGCCAAATCGTTTGCAGCTGAGAACAAACCCGGCACCTCGGAATTTTAAAAATTAAAGCATTTGATTTCACTAGTGTCTAAATATTTTATCAGCACAGCTTTTGTTTTGTTTACAGTTATGTACAAGAATACGAATTTTAGATAAACCTGTAGGATGCCAGTAAAGTTGCGACACACTATCGCTTTATCTCATTGTGGGTTCCTGTACCTCTTTGTGGGGAAAACAAGAATATACCCACTGCTTCCCCAACAAGCATGTCGTAGGAATCGATGATTTGGGGGTTTCCTTCGAAGTCGGAGTGCATCTGCCTCAAAGGCAAGGACCAACAGTTTGCATACAAATAAGTCAGATCTATAAAACGGATGTGCACGCCGCACTCAGGTTCTGGAACAAGACTCGTCCAGAGGTGGATGAACAACCATGACTTTCCGCGGGCGTTTACAACCGGTGAACGCGAAGAAGAAAGAAGAAGACTATCATTTCAGTTTTTGTGCTTAAATATCTGCATATGTCTGTGTCCGATTCTGTGTATACGCTAAACAAGCTAAAGCTTAGGTCATCACACTCCGCAGGAACTTCACAAAATTCTTATTTCTTTTACAAATGCTATTTTTTATAAATATTTTAAATGCAGTATTCTGTTAATGTTTCTCTTTGTAACCCCAGCCTCGGAAATGTTTCTAATTCTGGTAATGTTATGTGTATATTATCGGAGACCTTAATTTATTCTAGCTTGGTGTAACCAATTTATTTGAAAAAATGATTAGCTTCACATACGACATATCAATTTGTGTGTGTGTGTGTGTGTGTGTGTGTGTGTGTGTGTGTGTGTGTGTGTGTGTGTGTGCATTTGGCAAAACAGTAAATAAAATGTTTGATGGTGACTCAGAGTCTTTCATATGATTAAATAATTTCTTCTTCTTCTTCTTCTTCTTCTTCTTCTTCTTCTTCTTCTTCTTCTTCTTCTTCTTCTTCTTCTTCTTCTTCTTCTTCTTCTTCTTCTTCTTCTTCTTCTTCTTCTTCTTCTTCTTCTTCTTCTTCTTCTTCTTCTTCTTCTTCTTCTTCTTCTTCTTCCTCTTCTTCTTCTTCTTCTTTTTCTTTGCGTTTACCAACTGTAAACTATGGTGGAAAGTTCAGTTTGTTCAACCTCTCCTGGACTGCAGTAATGTTTCAAAATCCTGAGTGTTGCGTGTGCATCCGTTTGACAGATCTGACTCATTTGTGTGCAGACTGTTGGTTCCCTTCCTCTCAGGCAGATGAACTCCGAATTCGAAGAAAGCTCCTAAGTAGTCAACTCTTACAACATGCTTTTGGGTAGGCAGTGCGTCTACTCTTGTTTTCCCTATAATAGGGCCCTGGAACTCACACGGCGAGCACGTAATTGTGTTTCTGTGATTTAGCAGACACATTCTTTATTATTTCTTTTAATAAAAAACTAAACGACGATACATTTTGACTATCCATACATTTACAGTTTTCTGAGATTAGCTGGTGTCATTCAAAAAACACTCGAAAGAATACAAGAACTTCAGGTCAAAAGAGGAGGTGCCAAACATGAATACTATACAGGTAGTCAAAGAAGAATTGTAGACCAATACGGAACTGGTGTTATCAGTCGTCACACGTTGGGGGAGATACTGAAGATGGGATCCAAGCGCTTATGGACTTTTCCGATGTGCAGTGATGATAATATGTCGATTCTTCCTCTTCTTCTGCCTTTCTAGCCCCCGATGGAGCATAGGCCCTCAACCCACACCAAGTCGTTCTATCCTTTGCTATCGCATGCAGCTCTCCCCATGTCCTGCCCATCTTTCCAGCTCCCTTCTTGGTGTGTTTTGTGGCCTTCCTTTATTTCTATGTCTCTGTGGGTCCCAGTGCAAAGACATCCTAGTTATATTGTTCTCCGGTTTTCTCAATGTGTGTCCTATCCAACGCCAGCGTCTTTTTTCACCTCTTGGTCCACTGGAACTTGCTTAGTTCTCTCCCAAAGCTCTACACTAGTGACTCTATTATACCATTTAATTCCCTCGGTTCTGCGCAGGCACCAGTTAATGAATGTCTGTGGTGTATTAGTACTTGCCTTAATTGTTTTCCATGCTTACGCAAATCTGTCGATTAACTAATTTAAAACTGCAGGGGCCTCATGGCCTTATATAACTGAGAACCTAATCAATTCTAAATCCGGGCTTTCCACATGTACATGGTGTTCACACAAACATCGAGGTTCAATGTTTACTAAAGTTGTCATATCTTCCAACTAAACTTATCATTATTATTTGCTAAACTTCACAGAAAATGGCCATACAAATAAGAAGCATTACAAGCACCCGTATTTTGTTCAAACACATTGACTCACAAAAAAGTTAGTCCATTCGAATGCGTGAGTCTGTTTAAGCGTGGGAAAAAAAACGGAAAATCGACATGCATTCCGTAGACATATGACGGATTCTCGGAAAACCAATGACAGATTCTAATAAAATTCTATGACATATTCTCGGCACATTCTAGAATGAAAGATCGACGTAGATGGCATGACAAGATATGGCCTACCTGCCCGTGGGAGAAGTCAGAAGAGCACGCTGCCGTCGCCCTGGGGTATGCCGGGAAGGCAGAAGTCAGAGGCTGATACATGACATCTACGCAGGTCAT